GTCCTCAAGGCCTGGTGGGCCAGGATGTGCTCCACTCTCTCCTCCTCCCCCTTCATCTGCTCCCAAGTGCTCCGATCAGATATGTCCCTCTTCTGGAGCTGCAGATTGAATGCCGTCTTTTGAAATAAATTCTTCTGGGGGGAGGGGCAGGTGTCCACTTAGTAGTTGGGATTGGGGCCGGCCCCCCTAGACCTCTCCACTGGTTCCCTACTCCATGCCGGCAGAACATAACTTTTTTAATATCTGTTTTTATGCTTGAAATGACTATATGCAATTCTAGTCAAGACTTAAAACGATGGCTTAGTTGAATTATTCATAAGACACTATTTAAGAGAACCATTTCTCAGTTAATGCAAGAATGCGTATACTATTTGAAATGATATTAGAGAATGTAAGTAGTATGTCTTTTATTCATTGACAGATGTAATGCTGAAATTTTGTGGGCTGACCAGTCTTACATGGATCTAAAATGAATGAAAATAAAAATATTGGATGTCTGCCTGGAGCTGCATGTGTTGCTACACCCTACTTAGCCAATCTACCTTCCTATCTCCACCTCTCGGTGTTTTTTTAAGGGTTTTCTGGGTGCTCCTTGGATATCTTTCTTTTCGACTTCCCTAGCAGTTACAATGGACCAGAGTACCATGATGAGCAATAGGATATTCTATCTCTGGCTGCTGAAGGAATCATGTATTGAAGTAGCTTCTTGACAAGAAGTATTGGATATCGCAATAATCCTTAAATTGCAGTACCATTTGCTAGTTGGTACTCATCTCTTTTCCCCTTCTCTTTCAAATTGCTCAGGATGTCCCTGAAAGAATGCCTAATAAGACTGCTCGTGCTAGAGACTACCAGTGCAAGGTTTTTTGTTGCTTCTGGTTCCATCCAGTTTACTTTGAGGGCCAAGGAGATCAATGTCTAGCAGCATGTTCTGCTTTAGGTGGGATCCATTCCACCGAGGATATACATTTATGAAATTAGAGTTGTAATGAGTTCAGAACATGGAAAGAATTAAGAATTAACTGCTTTCAGTACTATTTTAACTTAATTAAAAAAATAATCATATAAACTACACTCCATTCTTTCTTTTCTTAAAAATCATTTTATTGGGAACTCTTACAGCTCTTATCACAATCCATACACAATCCATTGTGTCAAGCACATTTGTACATATGTTGCCATCATCATTTTCAAAA